GTCCAACACGATTTAATTCTGAATTAATCGGATCCAATGTAATTCTTAAATATCAAAAATTAGTACACAAAAAAAAAATATATATATATATATATAACAAAACCGAGTTTTCGAACTCTTATTTTTTGTCACCAGCCTCTCTGCTTCAACTGAATCTGCCGGCAGCCATCTTCTTTCCTTCTCCGTTCATCATCATCATCTCGCATGACTCCCGAATCCTTTCATCTCTACCAAGTTCTCTTTTCTTCCTCAATTCCTCCATTCTCATCCCCTATTCCATGTCACATCCATCGACCGGAGTCATTTCAACGGACAGGCACAACCCATGTCGGCGGGTGAGCAGCCGAACCGGAGAGAATGGAGCCTGATCTATCGATCGGCGATGAGGGTGCTGTTCACGCGAGGCCTTGGCAAGTCGGCAAAATTTCGATCTCCTTCCAACTGAGAACAACTCTACAGATCACTTCCGCTCCACTACAGATCATGAGTTGGATGATAAGAGGCCGGAATGAATTCATTTCACAGATTGTGACGGAGAAAGCAAAGATTGAAGAGGCCCAGAGGCAACAAATCCAGAAGGCCCAGAGATGGTTGCGTTCTTGAGATATAGGGTTTTCATTTTGAGTCTTATAAATAGGTTTGAGGGAAAGGGTTTTTGGGGGGCTTCTTGTTTTGGAATATTGGAGAAATCTGAAAACGGCGGTTGGAAAGAGGGAGGAGAGCAGAGCTCGTTTTCTTGCTTTAGGTAATCTGTTTTCCATTTTTTTTTTCTTTAATGTACTGTGATGTTTTGATGTTTTGATGTTTCTTAAGTGGCCAGATATGTTTTCTGTGCCAACAAGTTGCCCTTTTCTCTTTTTATTTTACTCAAAAGGTTCTTGTGTAGAGATGTCAAGGTTAAACAAAGTTTATAATTGTGACATTTTATTTTGTGGTATTTCTTAATTATGCATGATTGTCCAGTTTTCCATCTTTGTATGGTTAAATTCTGAGGAATAAGGTTGCACTATGACTATCCCTTCACTGATGCTGAATTTGGCTTATTTGGCTGCAGCAGTGTTTCTGTGACTTGTGAAAGGTATAATACTATAATACTTATACCTGAAACCCATATTCTCCTCTGTTAAATATTATATGATTTGACTGTCCATTAGATTGTGGTTGATAATTTTTTCTGGTTCATAATGACAGTTGCTTCATGATTTTAGGTTGTAAACTTAATTTGGCTAAACAGTTTGGGTTAGGGAATTAACGAGATAATAATTTGGTTTAGACTTTAGGGGAAGGTTCTGTTTGTTCTGGACCTGCATCTATGAACGGGATAATAGTTTGGTTTAGATACAAGCTTACTTGTTAACTTTTAACTGCATTGGTTTCTCTTATCTGTAGCATGGAAAGCTTGGTATTTCGTGCCCAAACTGCCCAAAGGAAAGTAAGTGTGTGGAGACTGTTTTCAGTACGGCATATTGAGAAGGAAGCAGAAGGCATTTTGAACCATATGCATGGAATTGTGAGTATAATCTGTTGAAGCATTGCTCCTGAAGCCCAAGATATTTACTTTAACATTACTTTTTGTTTTTCTCTAACAGGGTCTCGTCAGTAAGGACTTTGTGACTCATAATGGGGTGATGCTTTCTCGCAGCCAAAGACCACGGCGTGCTTTCACTGAACGCATGAAGGATTACATGCAGGGGATATCAGGGCGTCTTGGTGAAGTAATTAAGCATTTAGATGGTGTAACATTACATGTTCAAGATGAAGATGTCAACTTTAATGCTGTGGCCAATTCTGTCATTGACTTGAGAGAAGTTTGTGATGCCTTCGGTGCTGTAGGGATGGCACTCCACTGCAGTGAACTGTTGGTAACTATTCGACAAGGAGGAGTAGCGAGGTAAGCTAATTAACACAAATACTGGGTATTTGGTCTCATTCTCACATTTTGTTCTAAAAATAAAAGAAATTGATTTATGATTATTATTCTTTTAAAAATTGTTGCAGGAGCAATGACATATTGCAAAGGCTTCGGGAGGAGACAAACAAGTTGTTTCTGCACTTAGAAGTACTTATTCAGGTAGTGTCTCTGTAATTTCAAAATTAAATTAAAATATCCAAGTTTTTGCATTTTTTTTGTATTTTACATTTTATTTTATTGTTTTGGTGTTAGTATGATGAGATGATTTTCGAGTCTTTTCTGAAGGAGGGGGTTGAAGACGCGCTTTTTTTGGCTGCTCTGTTTGGAGGATTTTGTCTTCACTATTGGGGTGGTGGAAGGTGGATGGTTTGATGCTTAGGTGATTGGATGAGGCCATAAGATATAATACTCCTGTTTTGGACATATGATTCGGTTGGGTGAGATTGGATGAGGCCATAGAGACCATCTGTCGGACATATATTATTAGTGTTGTATAAAATACTACCACTATTGGATGTTAAATGCATGATATGATTAGGTTGATTAATCTTGTTTACGGCCAATTACACGTATGTATGTCCATTGGTTTTTAGTTTTTAGTTTTTACAATTTTAACAAACACATTTTTAAAAGAAGACGACTGTATGGAAACTGGAAAGTATGATTCCAAACTAATGGACCGGCATCTATTTTGCTGGTAAAAAAAAAAGAAATAAAAAGAAAAACCCTAATGGACCAAAATCAAATGAAATCACCGGCCATTGAAAAGAAGTTTCTCTTCTTCACAACCGTTCTTACCTCTCTCCCCTCTGTTTTTTTTTTTATTTTTATTTTTGACCATTCTTACTTTTCTTAAGTACACGTATTGGGTTGTTCTTTCTTGCCTCAATTAACGGAAACTTGACCAGAATTTTAGGTGGTGCTTAAAATTTTTGGGGGGCCAATTAATTAAAAAAAAAGAGAGAGTATATTTAGAGGATCAAATTAAGAGAAGGGAACGCTAGTCGATTTTTGGAAAAAAAATAGGTCAAGATACGACTGCGTAAATATTACTCCAGAATTGGTGAATTGAATAATAATTTATTAAAAGAGAAAAAGTAAAAATGAGAACTCTAGATAATTAAAATATTAAATTTTGTTTATGAAATTTATTTTAATAAATAATATTTAAATAATATCACAAATACTCTTACATATTTTTTTCGTTGTTGGTGGACCTTAAAAAATGTCGATGAAATGCCCATTGACATCAAAATGGTCTGGCCTGTTTTTTTGTTTTTTGTTCTTTTTTTTAATGGTTTACAATTGAGGATGGAGAAATTAGAACCTTAATTCTAAGGTCAAAGGATACATCTTACAATTGAATTTAGAATCGTCAAATCATGAGACTCAAGTGCGGTCTGGCCTGATCAATGTTCAAGAAAATTGTGCATAGCCACATTGCTTCTCTGTTTTTCTTTGGTTTCTCATCCGGCATTCGGGGCTTCGTCCCGACTAATTCGAACTTGACCCGCATCACGCACTTGAAAATAGTAGGTGAATCTCTCAGCGGGCTGCTGCGTACACAAAGTCTCAAACTCAAGACCTTATTTAAGCTGGAATAAATTACTTACCACTTGATCCAACCCCTCGTTGGTACATTATTTCTCTGTTACATCTTATTGAAATTGCTAATCAGGATCACCACCTCAAGGCTAAATGACACAAAAAAGGTACAGCGAGTCAGCGACATGTAAAAGTAAAACCGTGATGTTTGATCGACGACATAATAGAATAAGAAACCGTAGGTGCATGGGCTTAGCATAGGAGTGTCCACAGAGAAGTAAGCTTAGCGTAGGTAAACCTTGCTGCGCTAGTTGAATCGGAGGGCCATGATTTTAAGGATGGATCTAATCCGACGGCCGAAATTATACCACAATTGTAGTGGTCGAAACTCGATATATAGCCCTTCTTCACGTCACGAAACCAAATACAAAAAGGGGAGAATTGTTGGAGCATTTGTGGAGGAGGAGGAGGAGGAGCATCAACAGCAGCGGTGATTCTTTAAGTTGTGAAAGGTACAATTAATACAAACCCCGAATCCCAAACTTTCCTCTGTTAAATATGATTTTAATGTCTGTTGAATTGTGGTTTTGAAAATTTTCTGTTTCATTACCCATTTTAAACTTAGTTTGCCTAAAAAGTTTGGGCTTGAAGTATATATTAATTTGGTTTAGACTTTTAGACTATAGAGGAGGAAGTTAGTTTGTTGTGGAGGAAGAAATATGGGGTAGCGTAGTAAGGATAAAGAAATAGTAAAGCATGTGCATTGTGCAAGAATTCCAATGGTGAATGGTTTCTTTCTGCTTGAATAATTTGGTTTAGTGAACATGCGTCTGTTTGTTCCTTCTGTGTTTTGAACTTTTGATCATCCCTAGAGAAATTACTTCACTAGACTTAATTTGGCTTTATTTGACATCAATAGCAGCTACTAGTCTTCTACTTGCATGCGACGGGGGTTTGTTTATTTATGGGTGTACATTAAAGAACAAGTTTTGTAACATGTCCAGGAGAAACTCATCGCAATTATGGTAGAATGTGGAAAGAGAATGTGCAGATGATTAAAGATTATGAGAACACCAAATTGCAAAGATGCAGGTTTTTAAGCATTTTGCAGACTCTATAATCATATAGGGTAGGGTAGGTTGGCCATTACTCTGTCAGCGTGAGGCAAATGTTTTTGTGGCTCTTGCCAATTTTTCTCCTTGGTTTCGGCATCCCTTCTAAGTCCTGTTAACTTTCCATGTATTCTGCTTGGATACTGTCAAGAAAAGCTTTCTGTTCTTCTCTAAGAGCCTTGACCCTTTTTCTTGATTCTTTTTCTTCCATTTTCTTCCTTCTCCGCCTTGCCTTTTCTCATTCCAGCTGTTACTCCCATCTTTCTTATTCTTCAGGCTGCTTCTTCCTTATGTGCAACCCAGACGTGGTGCCCTTCTTCTAACTCTTTGCAAGCATCCATCTTTCTGTGCCAACTAGTTGCTCTTTTCTCTTGTATTTTAATCTATCTTAGTTGTTAAAAAGGTTCCTGTATGGATGTCAATGATAAAAGCAGTTTGTAAATTTGACATTTAATTTTAAGGAATTAAACTGATCATGCATGATTGTCCAGTTTTCCAGCTTTTTATGGTTTATTTTTGAGGAATAAAGTATGCACTATCCCTTCAATAAGGCTTTATTTGGCATACATCTCATCACTAGCTCCCACTAGTCTTCTACTTGCGTTCCCCTTCTAGGAGTTATGTAAAATTATTACTTTAGGAACTCTAGTTCATGGAAGTCTCTCCCATGTTACCTTCTTTTCCAAGTTTACAGTAACTCTATTTGCTTTTTTCTATTTTCTTTTTCTATGCAGCATGGAAAGCTTGGTGTTTCGTGCACAAACTGCACAAAGGAAAGCGAGTGAAGGGAGGTGGCTTTTGGTTAATCGAAGGCTTTTGGTTAATCAAAGGATTTCAGTTAATCAAAGGCTTTCGGTTGATCAAATCAAGAATGAAGCCAAAGATTACCTCAAACATTTGCTTGGCATGGTGATTTTTACTTGGATCTATTCCTGTTTATTGTGGTTCAAAAACATCATATGCATGCATAACATTAAGCTCTTTTAGCCCTGTCTTTAGCTTTGAGCTTTGTAAATCTTTGTGTTGGTTCTATTTTCAGGAATCTAGCGTCTAATATCACTTTATATTTTTCTCTAATAGGGAGTCATCGGTCCAATTTTTGCACCTCAGTATGGAGTGTTATTGTATGGCAATCGCCAACTGAAGTATGCCTTCACCCGAAAAATGAAGAGGTTCATGTTGAAGATAGGAAAGCTCCTGAACAGTCTAATTGTCAATCTGGATTTTGAGGTATTGCGTCTTGAAGATTTGAGTGACGGTAATCATAACGTGATTGCGTCTACCACCATCGAATTAAGAGAAGTTTGTGAAGAATTTGATGCTATAGGGATGGTAAACTGCTGCTCTGAGCTCTGGTCCGCCATCCAAATGGAAAGAGTAGAAAAGTAAGTTTCCACTAATCTTGAAAGCCCGCAGGCTGAGGGTTATATGAGATTTACTGGGGTTTGCCCCATTTTGTAAGTAAATTTAATATACTTTTTAAAAATATTGTAGGTGCCCGGACATTTTACAGAGGCTTAGGGATGAGGCAGACGTGCTGTTTCAGCATCTTGAAGTTCTTATTCAGGTTGGTCATCTCTAATTTCAAAATTAAAATCACTAGGTGTGAGGGGAAATGACTTTTTTTATTACAATTATCATTTTTTTTTCATTTTATCCTTTTCAGTATGATGAGAAGATTGTTGAAAAGGAAGAAAAGGAAGAAAGGGAAGAACATGAGAAGAAGTTGTTTTCTTTTGCTGTTTTGGCCGGAGGAATTTGTTTGTGTATTGGGTATTTGATTGGCCATAGGTTTGGACGATTTTCGAATCTTATCTGATGGATGGAGGTTCAGGAGAAGGCGGCTGTGGTTGGAGGACGTATATGATATAGAAAATCGGTTTTAAGTAGGTAATATTACTGGGTTTAGTAATCTTATTTACCACTAATTATGCTTTTAAATTCTTTTTTTTTTCCCGGCATGTAAAGACTATAGATTTTTTTTTTTAATATATTGTAATTATTTACAAGTTAATTGGGGGATGAGGGGAATGATTTCTGTGGGGTTCAAACGTCTAACTTATAGAAAGTGAACAACTCTAACCTAGGATCTAATGCTACTGAGTCAGAGTAGACCGTTATGTAAAGGTTATAGATTAAGCTTTAAATTTTGTAGTTAAAAACATAAATAACTTTATTACTATTAGGGTTATAATCAGTAGCTTTTAATTCTTCAGCTTTGCTTCTGTCTTTGACTAACCAAGCAGATACATCTGACCGTAATGTAGAACTTGAGCCAAATAAAGGAATATAATTAGTTTGGTCATTTGTCACCTGGAAAGCAATTAAAAGCGCCAATTTCCCATAAATAAATAAAGGTTAAAACCCCATTTTGATCCCTGAACTATTGTATGGACCCCTTGATTTGATCCTTAAACTTAAAAAATCCCTAAGTTGGTTCCTACTGTTTACCATTTTTATCTCGATTTGGTCTTTCCGTTCAAATTCTGATGATGAGGCTTGTTAGTTTACTGTTATAAGATGACATGTCAAATATTAATACAC